CTCTACATTAAGTACAGTTAACTCCCATTAAGAGGCCACTAGTTTATCAACCACCCTCCCATTACTGACTTCCATAAGCGGCCAGCGAGCGCTTCTGACAATCTTAGTTTGGCTTCATTTTGAAAATATAATGAAGTAAAATACAGTCCAACATAATGTAAGGGAAGATCTTGGGCCAGTAATGCCGCTCCGTCCCGTGTTTGTTTCAAAATAAAGTATGTTTCTGCTAAAGGTTATTATAATTTATGACAAACCTTTATTGAGTGAACAATCCACATTAAGCGGCCAACTGCCGGTACCCCGAGGGTGGCCGCTTATTGGAGGTTACGAGAGAGTACTCCCTATAATGGCCCAAAGGGGGATTCCCCCCCAAAAGGGATAGCTTTTTCAGGCTTTAGATAAATGAAAGGCTAGGTAAATCTGTAGTTTTGAAACGGTAAAAAGGCCTAAAAGGGCTACAAGATGCTTTTTGTGGCTGTGAGAAAAGTCGAGAAAACGTTCTGGTTTTGTGATTGTTTCATATATTTTAAAGAGGGTGCATTTACAGCAGTTAAAAGGGAAGCAAAGTTCTAAACTACAGGTATGTGAAAGGGGTACCATGATACGAAAGGGGTATCTTTTCCCACAAAAATGGTATGTGAAAGGGGTTGGGCTAGGAAGTGGAGCCTCCCCGTATAAAACTTTTTCGGGTATTCCCTGGATGAAGATTTAACTGTACTCTAGTACGCTGCATACGATTGTAATGTCAACACACCTCAAACACTACTCTACTTTGATTCACCACCTTGAGCGCATACTTTGCGCCAGTATCCAGATGGGTAAACTGAATACATTTATTTTTGGTTTCCTTTATTTCTACAGGTAAAAGCTGAAATCTTGATTCGGCATTTCCTGCAAAAGAAATGTTTAAATTAATGTGACGGTGATAAAGCTTTACGGTTGGTAATTAATTACAAAAATGTACGCAGTAACTAAAGAAAGAGGCAAAAAAAAAAAAAAAAAAACAGTCCTAAACGGTAGTGATCGCAAGCTGTTAGCGATAAAAAAATTAAACATATATATTTTTGGATATGTCAGTAATCTGTTGTTAAAATACGTAAAATAAACCATACAAATTAATACATAATATATATTTAGCCCTCTTCCACACCTAACCAGAGATTCCCCCCTTTTTTAAAAACGCGTCCACATGTAGAGTATTCGAGTCCTTTTTTGCCCGTCCACAAGAGCAAAAATATGAAACGATGGAAACACGATAACGTCCTTTACAGAGGATATACTATATGACAAAAGGGAATCCGCTCGTTCTTTTATGCTGGATGGTGTATGATAGCAACATGTCATGATCACAAAAGCAATGGGGACCTTAAGATCAGATGGCGACAAGGAGAACGTCATAAGAGCAATAGGTTTGAAAAGCAAAACAACAATATTGCACGTGTATCACACCTTCTTGTACAATTCTTTGCCGTTCTTCTAAGACTACCACGTGAAAAAAGCCTTATTTCATGTTTTATAGAGGACGTAAAAGTGATTTTACGTGGGACGATTTTTAGCGCAACACGTACAGCGTTAAAACACTGTTGCGACGTAGTTTCGAAAGGCTGCAGCGTTGTTCCAACATTTGAACCCTGTGTTGTGCTAACAATCGTCGTTGCGAATCGTCTCGTGTAACATCATGCACCTAAAACAAGCAACGACGAAATTTTCTTTCTCTTTCTTAACTTGGATAGGGCTCTTAGGAATTCAACTCCAAGAGATGTCATGTACATTCGACAAAGCTTGCAAGCGAAATGGAATAAACTCGATGAAGATTGAAAAAATCGCGAGTTCACTTTTAAAGCGACGTTTTACCTGCCGTCGCCGTCCTCGTATCTTAAGAGTGAACTTACACAGCAGGACGGGAGAGGTAAGAAGACGGCAAACCTTGTGTGGCAATGAAGCGTGACAATAATTTTGTTTTGAAATAGCTTTTCGCCAAACTTCACTTTCCTTTAAACTGATCTTTTTGTAAAAGACCCGAAAACATAAATTGCTAAGTGAAGATTACGACAAAACACGCAAGTAATAGCCTGTCACGTTTGTCACACACGAGCATTTTGCAGCCTCTTCTTCCTGCCGTCCTATTGCGTAAACTCAGTAAGGTCTCTAACAAGCCAACATTTGCAAGAAAAAACTCCACTCTGTAGACCGTTTTTCGAAAGCCTGCATTTTTGGTGCTGGAATGCCTTAAACGGAGGAAAAAAAGTTTTCAGTTTTCAAAACTATCAAGATACGTGTGGACGGACACAAACAAGTTCCTTCTCTATTTTTCTTCTGCGCATGACTGAGATCGTGACAAGATGGAGAGAACGACGAATTGGCGCGCAAATCTTAGCACCGAATTGACCGATGGCAGACCGGCAACCGGAAAGCGCCATGGCAATCTCATTTGCCGTTGTCTTTCCCTGCCAACTCCACGCCCATTTTGGCTTGAGTACAGATAGACGTTTTATATTTC